GTTTAATCCAAGGATGATCTGGTAAAAATCAATAAATTATCGATAAGTAATTACCTAAATCCTTCTTGTGACCAAAAAAAAAAAAAAATACCTAAATCCTTCTAAGAATAGTCAACCTAGAAAACCACAACCATATTGTCGACTCAACATGAAAATTTTCAGTTGTAAAGAAGATTACTCACAACTCACAAAGTCATAACAAAATACCAAAACAAATGAAAAGATTTAGAAAATGAACTCATCCTATATAGTTATGCTTTTTAGTTCACCAACCTAACACACTAATGTCTTTATGATTTGGGTTCCAAATCACATTCTCAAAATACAAGTTTAACAAAAATAAGAAGATACACACTATTTATAGTGATTTAATCTCACCACTTGATGGGCGTTTCCAATCGTATCGGTACACATCGCGTTGGGAAGACCGGCTTGGCTTCATGACCGGTTAGCTCGAGAAGCGACCTGTTAGCATCGCAATATCCTTCCTATTAGGATTAGGATGCTATTTGTTTTTGATCTGCTTTGATTGATTGTTGAACTATTCTCATATTTTCTCCTTTTTTTCTAATAAAACAACAAACGTTTAAAAAAAAAAACTCACCACTTTACCACATTATATTTTACTATAATCGAAATCAGAATTCTTACACAACGAATTCAAGTGATTAAAATTCCACAACTCATCAAATGTTATGTACTATTTGACTCATTTCTTGTCACTTAGCAAGTTATTAGCATCAAGACCACGAATGTAATTATAATCATCAAGGCTTTTAGAAATTTAGGCGCTTCTAGATTTAGATGGTCCAAGTGTAATTAATAATTGGTTACATTAATTATGGGTTGAAATGAAAGAAAAGGGTCTCTCAATACCTTGCGCCTCAATGAATTGGAAAAAGCCTACGAAGGAAAGTGACAATCTTTACTCAAAGAAAAGTAGACAATGAATAATCTCTCAAGATTTCTCCTCAAGAGATGAAAGGGTAAAATGGCCAATCTCCATATCCCTCCAAGACGTCACAAAGGAAAGCCAAGATTCAAGATATCTTTGCTGCTAGTTTCAAGAAAGAGATTCAATAAAATGAATGTTCTACACTTAAAAACATTGAATCCAAACCAAACAGCATTAGTAGCAAATATATTCACCTGACTCGAGAAACGCCATTTGTTCTATGGATCATATTTCATAAATCAGTTAGGGAATCTTGTGGGTCTCCTTGGCCCCGGGACCATTGGACGCTGTTGCTGCGATCCGAAGCCATTGTTCCCTACATTGCTTCCCTTGTGTGAAAGCCTTGTCATTCTCATTCTCTCTTCCTTCATGCTTGCAAACCGAGAATCTAGCGTCTGAGGCCATTGTCTCTGTCCTCCATTTGCTTGCTTCGGCTCTGTATTCACCCTT